TCCATTTTAATAACATTATTACAAAAAGGTTTTCAATACATTATTTATCAGAGTATTCCCAGGTCCGTTCCATAAAACATAAACGCGAGGAACGGTACGATCACGCCTTTGCCCTGCCACAGTGTCCTGAAGAACCTGAAAAACATTAAACCACAACTGTAAGCATGAAAGCTTAGTGAGATACCCCCAAAATACCAACCACATATACGCCCTTCCAGGCTACGACCTTCCGGTCCAAAACATATTGTCTTGCAGCCCATAACATATTGCCTTCCGGCCCATAGCATAAAAAGCATACATAACATAACAAAACATAGAACAGCCATGCATATCGGGTTTACTGTGTGACTGGTCCGTCGTATCAGGCCTTCAGTCCACCAGGTCCACCCTCTGAGTCTAGTCATGTCCTTCGAGTCTACAGTGTGGTTGGTCCGCCCGCACCGGGCCGTCAACCCACCTGGTCCACTCTCTGAGTCTACAGTATGACTGGTCCGCCCGCATCGGGCCTTCAGTCGGCCTGGTCCACTCTCCGAGCCTCGGCACGTCTGGTCCGCCCTCGTGGGGCCTGCAGCCTATCCGGACCGCTCGCTGGGCCTTTGGAACAACCGGTCCGCCCTGGGTATCTTGGCCTACAACACAAAGCAGGACACGCCTCAACCTATCTCCCGTCCAAACAACCATGTGCACATAACATACAATCATATAACACTCATAGCCAACAAACCGATCAATCAGATCACATAACATATCATTTCCCTAACCAGGTTACCGACCTAACCGGTCACTAGCATAACATCACTCTACATATCAGGAAACCGACCTTAACCAGGTCTCTAGCATATACCATCCTAGCTGTCAGGAAGCAGACATATCAAAGCAATAACATAACAACAGAATCCACATCTCAATCCAATAAAGGGCCGGCCTTGGTGCCTTAGACCCTATCGATACAGTGAGGATAATTCACCTCGAGAATGCCGATACTCTGAACTAAAAAAACAGACTCCCGAACCACCAACTCACCGCAAATCCTGAACTAACCAACATAACAAGCATAAGCATTAGGTCAAACATACTTCCACTTATCGGGCCAAGACCAAAGTCCAAATCTCACACAAGGACCACCATTGGCCCAATTTACCAAATTGGGCCCACTTCACCAAATGGGCCTAGATCCAATGTCCATAACATTAATTGGGCCCAAAATACTCAATTCATAATTTCCAGACTTGGCCCAAACATCAACAACCCACAAATGGCCCAAACTCAAAAGCCCAAAAGGAAGTTCACAGGAGGAGTATGTTGGGCGTACTCTCCTTGGTACGCTGGGCGTACTGCAATGATCACCAAAAGAAAACGCGGCATTAGCCCGCTACGCGGGGCGTACTCGAAGGTTACGCAGGGCGTAACTGCGAGATCCATTAAGCCTCTCTAACCTCTTAATGGCTTAAGCTCTTAAGCCCAAACTTCAGATCCAAAGGTCAAACATGATTAGAATTCATAAAGTCTCATACTTTATCACTTGGGACGTCCTTAAGCTCTTAATCCAAGGTCTTAATCCAAGGTCTTAATCCATTAAGACCTATATAACTCATACATGGAATAACTACAGCCCTTGGGACCTCATTTTTATCACTCAAGACCTCTCCAAAGGTCTGAAAGGACAGATGATCTTGACCAAATCGAACTATACAACAAGGAGTGGACTTTTGGGACAAGAATGGAGACAAAGCTTCAAAATACATAGATCTATGCCATATGAAGGTCAAGCAAGAAACTTTATACCTTAAACCAGCTCCAAAGGGTGGTATTTCTTCAAATCTACAAGCTCTACACGTTCTTTTTCTTCTTTGACAACTTCCCTTTTCTCCTTCAAGCCTTTCTTTTGCCAACAAGAGCTTTCCAAGGTCAAACACACCCAAATATGAGAGGATACGAGATCTAGGGTTTCTATGAGGTTGAAGATGAGCATAAGGAGGCTGAGGGGTGAACCAACATGTCCCTTATATAGTGGTTGACCCTAAATTAGGGTTTGAAGTTTCTGAGAGTACGCTGGGCGTACCTCCCTGGTACGCTGGGCGTACTCACCCGGCCACCCGCATCTATTCGACCTTCTACGCTGGGAGTACGTCCAGCTTACGTTGGGCGTACCCAGCCAGACTTCAAGATCAAAAGCATGCATGCATGCCATGCATGCATGCATGGGACCATTTTTCCACTTATCCCACAAAGAGCTATAAACAACGGTCAACTTCGAAGCACCGTAACTCCTCTTATCTAAACCCACTATCAAATAACTTTACATTCATACGAGGGTGATGAGAAGCCCAATACTTCTACACATACACCCGCCCGAAATCTTCTCAGATGAAACTCATTTCTCGAAAGGGACCAGAATTACCTTTCCTCTTAAATCTCATTGACTCATAATTAACACTTAAAGAATGGGGTGTTACACATAGTTACGAATTTTTATATGTCTGAATGACAACATCATTTATAAGTAGCATATGTATGGTTGTAAACTAATATTGAATCCAAAATTTTAATAAAATGTGTTTTTTTTTTAATTGTTATGCTCATGTCTCCCTTAATTGCATGTCTCTATATGACAAGCAATAGTCATAATAAAATATTGTTTTTGTGACTAATTATTAGCAAATGGTCATTTATAATTATTTACATATTTTCATTTAGTGAACATGGCCATATTCACGATAATTGCATGTTTGCAAAACATACCCAATAGTCTTAATAAACATTGAATTGTGTGTCAATCTATTAGCAAAATGCCACATTAAAACAAAATGTATGTTGTCATTTGGTGATATATAGTCACTATAATTACTAGAAAAAGTTTGTTTGCTGACGGTTTAACGACACAATATTGGGTAAAATGATTGATTACAGCAACAAAATTCCCTACCCAATTTCCACACCGTTATGATACAGTCAGATTTTTACTTATCAAATGGACATTAAACTTTAAAATGACTATAAGACCCATAAAATGGCATCACCTTCGGTTATACTTTCATTTAAAAAAAATATCACTATATGCATATGGTCACACTTTTATGGTGTGTCCGTTGATATTTTTTTACTAGTAAGATGAAGCTACTATGAACACTAATATCCTGTCACTCGAAAGATTGAGCATTTTTCATTAATGGAATATCAGTACCTATTTTTCTCTAAATTTGTTTTTTTGATTCTTATATTCTCCAAATCTTATGTCACATTTACTAACTTTTTTTCATTCAACATTTTAATACATTATATGTATAGATAGAGAATCGGTGCTTTGGAAGGCTGTAAACTAGTTACAAAAGAGAAGGTTTGATTTTCATTGTAAAATTTTGATATATGTTGGGATTTAGAACTTCCATCCTCTACAAAAGTATTCGTTTAACAGGTTGGTAGGATATGTTGTGTTGAAAAGAAAGGAGGGGCAATCTTAATCTATTCAAGTCAACAGTTAAGAGATGTGAAGGGATATGATTGTGAAGTAAGATGCAGGTTTTAAGAGGTATAAAATATAAATAAATATAATGGTAAATCATTTCTTATAGAAAAGCAATTAATAGCAACATACTTTCATGTGCTCCCTTTGTTTCTCACTAAATTACATATTAGCCATTTTGCCCCTGATGATGGGCTGAAAAATATTGTCTGCTAATGCCTCCTCTTCAGGTTAGCTCAAGTGGTTGGCATTTTCTGTATTTTCTCTCTGTATACGTCATGGATTGATTATTTTGCTTATTCATGTGTTTTTGGAATTGTTCTAAAAATCGGCCTAGGCGGTGCCAAGTCGTTAGGCGGTCTCTTACTGTCTACAGTTAAAGCTAGTTAGTCGAGTTAGGCAGAGTTGGTCCTAGGCAACTATAGGTGGTCCTGGCGGCCATAGGCGATCTACACGATATAAGTCGATAAATAAAGCTAGACAGTCAAAATTTTCAAAAAAAAAAAAAAAAAAAACAAAACAAAAACAAAAAAATCCCCGACTAGTCAATTTTATAATATTGGGTGACTAAATTATGATGTTTGATTACTAAAACTATTAAAAGATCCCCAATTAACCTAAAAATTATTATATAATGTTTTAAATATTTAGACGACTAAATATGCCAAAGTTTTGTGGTTTTTCTTATTTATTTTATTAGAATACATGTAATATTTAATTTTTAAAAAATAAATTCTATTACAATTAACGGATTCCGCGACGTCGATTAATCCTCGTCAATACCAATTAGTCTCATATCCCAGTCAGCCGCCCAACTACCGTCTAACGACTTTTACACTGCAACAAAACAGACCTTCACCGACGACCCTATTTGTGGGTAATCAGTGGGTAATGGTCTTTATCCACGGATTATCCACGAAACCAGATTCGTGGGAAAAAGCTCGTGGATAATATTTTCCCACGGATTACCCTCAGAATTACCCACAGATTATCCACGAACAAATTTACCCACAGATTTACCACAGACAGTTTACCCACAGAATTACCCACAGTTTATCCACGAGCAAAGTTACCCACAGCTTATCCACGACCACATTACCCACAGAGTATCCACGAGCAAAGTTACCCACAGCTTATCCACAACCTGATTACCCACGGGTTTTCCACGGCTCTATTACCCACAGATTTTCCACGAATGTTTACCCACAGATTTTCCACAGAATTGTTTACCCACGGATTTTCCACAAATATTCTTTTTGGGTGATTCCGTGGATAGTCTGTGGGTAACATAACAAATTTCAAATGTTATATATTTACAAATTGCATAAAATCCAAATTTTTACAGCTAATTTGAAAAAACATAATATGACCAACAAAGTTTCAACCAAATCCATAAACTTAATCTAGAAATTTTCAAATGTCAAATCCACAAAAGTTTCAATTCCCAAATTCATAAACTTAATCTATGGGAAGTTTCAAATACCAAGTTTCAAATGTCAAATCCACAAAAGTTTCAATTCCCATATCACCCTACACACTAATTGTTTGGCATGAATTTACTCCAAAGTTCTTCCATACGTTTTTCCATAGTTTCTTGACGTGCTTTGGATTCCTCACGTTCTTTTCGAAATTGTTCCAACTCTTGTTGATGGTGGGCTTCGGACTCATCGAGTCGGGTTTGCAAGTCCCGTATCTAAAAAAATGGTAAATCAAACAATATTATCCATAATAGCAACATAGTTTACTATTTTTACCAAATATAGGAAACATATTTACCTTTATTATCCATAATGGCAACATATTTACATTTTCTATCAGTAATAGCAACCTACTTATATCTAACAACATATTTTTCTCATAACACATCACCAAGTTAATTTAACAAAGCTAAACATATTAATTTCAACCACTTTAACAATTTCACAAATCCTAAACATACCACTATAACAGTTTAAACAACCAAAACATATATATGAACAATATAATAACAAAGAAAAATGTACCACTTTAATAACTTAATAAACCCTAAACATACAAATTTAAAATTTTAACTAACCAAAACATATCACCCTAATAGCAACATACTTACATTTTCTAACCATAATAGCAATATATATTTTTATCCTTAGTAGCAATGTGGTTTACTCTTTTTACCTAATACACAGGAATGTATATATATATATATATATATATATATATATATATATACAGACACACACACACATACTTGAATTTTCTAACGATAATAGCAATACCTCTTGTTGAGATCGAGCATAGTCCATAGAGAACATGCCACAATTTGGTGTCCCGGTCACCGCGAAACTTGGATCCGAGTTTCCTACCCCAAAAACCCGACCCTTCTTTCTCCCGCCTGCACACTGCTCCCACAATCCAACATCACCAAGTGGATGCAAACTGAGGTCATCACCATATTTATCCTTCATTGCATTGTGGTATGTTTCCTACAATTTAAAAAAAATTAACACAAACGTTATTGTGATAAAGACTAAGAAAACTAATATGTATATCAAATAGAAAATCTAAATTAGAGAAAGATAACTTACATATACTTTTTGAGCCTTAGGGGTAACAAACTCTAGATTTTGGCTCCCACTCGACTCATCTCCGGAAACCAACCTCAACTTTGAACTTTCTTTGAGGTGTGTCATGCAATAAACTTTATCCCATGTGGGTTGTTGCCCGTTGTTCTCCTTCGCCAACAAAAAAACACATTTTAATTTTTCTATACTATTAGATAAAACATACAGATCATTTCATGATATTGCTTTAGTTATCCTACAAACATTATAAGCATTAGGGGTGACTTAAGAATTACTAAAGTTTGTAAATACAATTAGTTTACCAGCTTCATGCGATGTTGTCCCATGCTAATGGATCCGCCAGTATGCTTGGACTTGCAACCATCCACCATAGAGTTACGATTGGTGCTTCCACTCTCAGACCTCCTACGCCAAGCAGCACTGTTCCATACCTGTTCAGTGAAAAGGTAAAAAAATATAGGTTCTTATGCACGATAATATATTAGGAGCTGATTAAAATAGAAAAAAAAATATGAATTTATTAATTTAATTACATCGCACAACTCATGCCATAACTCTCGACGGATCCATGTAGGCGGATAGTCACGCATCGACATGTCAATGTATTCTTCATTTTATCACCATATTACAAACATACATGCATACACACTATACTCCTTTAATTCATCAACTTAGTAAACTCATACATGTATGTGTATGTATATGTATCTACTAAATTGATAAAACAAAGAAATACAATGATTTATTAAGTTATATTAAGCATGAAACGAAAAAACAACGTTTAAGGGTCAAAAAAATGAAAAAACAGTTTTAGTATGTGGGTAATCTGTGGATAATCACCCACAGATTTCCCACAACAGTGAAGAGTTTTTCCATTTTTGACTATTTAACGTTGTTGTCTTTGTTTTATCATTTATGATATATAATAAATCGATGTATTTCTTTGTTTTATCACCATATTTCAAAGATACATGCATAGATACTTAATATATAAATGAATCTTCTGTTTTATTAACTAATTATTCATGTACATATGTATGTTTATTGGTATAATAAGTTGATGAAACAAAGAAGTGCGTTTAGTAAAATTAATATAAATATTGAACGAAAAAACAACATTGAAGGATCAAAATAGAAAATCGATTTTGTTTTGTGGGTAATCCGTGGCAAATCACCCACCGATTATTCACGGACCAGAATTTTTTTTTCAATTTTTGACCATTAAATGTTGTTCTATTCATCTAATCTTTTACAAAACTTAATAAATTAATGTGTTCACTTGTTTGTTCAACTTATTTCACAAATACACTTAAACATACAAAAATACCTTTATACATGTATACATAACAGTTAATTCAGTACACTCCGTTAATTTGTCAACATAGTAAACTCATACATGCATGTGTATGTATATGTATCTATTAAATTGATAAAACAAAGGAATACAATGATTTATTAAGTTATGTTAAGCATGGAACGAAAAAAAAAAAACGTTTAATGATCAAAAAATGAAAAAACGATTTTGGTGTGTGGGTAATCTGTGGATAATCACCCACAGATTTCCCACATCAATGAAGAATTTTTCCGTTTTTGACCATTTAATTTTGTTGTATTTGTTTTTATCCTTTATAAGGTATAATAAATCGATGTATTTATTTGTTTTATCACCATATTATAAACATACATGCATACATACTTAATATATAAATATATTTTTTGTTTTATCAACTTATTATTCACATACATATGTACGAGTATAGGTATAAGAAGTTGATGAAACAAAAAAATGCATTGATTTAGTAAATTGATATAAATATGGAACGAAAATCAACGTTGAAGGATTGAAAATGGAAAAACAATTTTGTTTTGTGGGTAATCCGTGGCAAATCACCCACGGATCATCCACAGACCAGAATCATTTTTTCAATTTTTGATCATTAAATATTGTCATATTCGTCCAATCTTTTACAAAACATAATCAATTGATGTATTGACTTGTTTGTTAAACTTATTTCACAAATAAAATTAAACATACATAAATACTTTTATACATGCATACATACTTAATATTTCAGTATACTTCGTTTTTTCATCAACTTAGTAAACGATACATTAATGTGTATGTATCTAATAAATTGAACAAACAAAGAAATACAATGATGTATTAAATTATGTTAAACATGGAACGAAAATACAATGCTTGAGGGTCGAAAAATTAAAAAAACGATTATGGTATGTGGGTAATCTGTGGATAATTACCCACATATTTCCCACAACAATAAATAATTTTTCCATTTTTGATCATTTAACGTTATTGTTTTTGTTTTATCATTTATAATGTATAATAAACCAATGTATTTCTTTGTTTTATCAACTTATTATACACATATATGCATACATACTTTATAAACCAATATATCATTTGTTTTTTCAACTTATTATTCACATACATATGTACATGGATGAGAATAATAAACTAATGAAACAAAGAAATCATTGATTTAGTAAAACGATAGAAATATGGAACTAAAAAACAACATTTAAGGGATGAAAATGAAAAAAACAATCTTTTTCTGTGGGTAATCTGTAGAAAATTACCCACGCTTTACCCACAGACCGGAAATGTTTCCCATTTTCCAAAATCCATGGGTACGACGTGGGTGATGGCAATATTGTTCCCACGGATTTTCCACAGATTTCTTTCTGTGGATAATCTGTGTGTAATTCGTGAGAAGTAGTTTGTAAATTATGAGTTTTTAAGTCGTGGAAAATCGGTGGCAAATGTGTGGGTAATTACCCATAGATTTGGTCCGTGGGTAATTTTCGTGGGTGAAGGTCCATTGTGTAGTAGTGTTACAATATTGGTTTTTGGATTAACCATCTAAGCTTATAAAGGTTAATAGTATAGGTTTGTTTTGTAATCTTATGCATATTTTTGCCATTCTATTTTGTATGCATCAAGACAAGACCAAGATATCGACCAAAATATAATTGTGTCTTAAATTGATCAAAATACCATTATTTGTGACTTAATATCTATTTTTGTGAAATTATATTTATGTATGTTGTGTGTTGTCTATTTTAGCCATTGTATCTCATCTAAATCATAGCCACACACCAAGGTATTGACCAAAATACCTCAATATGTTAATTTTTTTTTATGTTGTATCAATAAATGTTAAATTTTTTGTAATAGTGTTAACACATCATTTAAAATGTTTGTATGAAAATTATCTTACGATGTATCCAACAATGCTTTTACATGTTTATACATAATAAGATTGAGAAAGAGTTGGAGAAAGCAAAACCAGAAGATGCATAATTGCTAAATCTTCTGAGAGTGTATCTAAAATCCAATCATTTCCACCGATCCAAGTCAACTTCGATCTGAATCAAGGTCACCGAGAGTTGTTAGTTTATAGGAATATGTTATTCATATTATCATTTGAATAATTATTTATATGACATATTATAATTTGTGCAATTTATTTTATTTTTTGTATATTGAATTTTATTTTATATCATGAGACAGAGACGTTTTTTTTAGATAGAAAAAGTTAAGGATTGAATTCGGTTTGTTTTGGAACCACAAGGACGATTTTGAAGTTTTTTCTTTAAAAAACAACATATAATAATATAATATTTTGTATTTAATAACATATTTTAACTTAATAGATTAATTATATTAAATTGTAAATTAAAAAGTCATAGAGGTTTAAAGTTCATAATATAATACAAAAAATATTTTATTTATAATATAATATAATATGATATGTTCACTTATATATGAGCTTGGTGTGTTTAAGTTATTATCTAGATTCATGGGATACACTAGTGTCATTGCCATTTAGTGTAATTGGAATTAACATAAATGCCAAATAAGGATTTAAATGATGATCCAATATATAAGTTAGGATTTGCAAAAGTGTATACATGATGAGTTTGATCCTAAACACGATCAAAGACAAGGTTAAGAGACAAGACCCCTAGGTGTCCAAGGTCCAAAGTTTGAGTCTCTTCAAAGGCAACTTAAAGGTAGCTCAAGTTGCCTTGGCAAAGTTGGCAATCCAAACTGTTGTGTAGTAGCTCCAGCCCAGGCAGTTCGAATTGTTTGAGTTGTTCTTTCGAAAACCATTTTGGCGCTTTAGATTTCGTACTTTTCATCATACTTATCCAGTTTTCAAATAGATGAGTATACATACTCATCTTTCTTTCATTTGGAACTCTTATGAAACCTAGCACCCTTATATTCTCTACTACTGTTTTTAGCGTCGAACTTTGAGTGCACCTCACTGATATTAAAAAATGTTTTCATTTTTCTACAAGTATTTCAAATTTTAAAAAATTTGAATCAATGTCCCTATTTAAGACGGAACAAGCTTTTAAGGAACACCACTATATAGCCCAATTTGCACTAAAATAAAAATAAAAATAAGAAAGTGTAATAAGTTTTTGAAAACTTCAAATTGAAACCTTCAAACCGATTTTGGGTTTAATGATGGACCACGCAAGACCAATAAACATTTATTGGTTGAAAGTAAATTTAATCTTGTTCAAAAGTTACAACTGGTTGATATTTGGATGTTTTTTGCTCCGCTTTCTTTCTTTTCACTATTCTATGTACGATCAACGAACCGTTTTATTTATCCCTTTGTATAATACCATAACAAATAGATCCTAAATCCGTGAATCGTCCATCAATATCAAAAACCCATTCCCAACAAGTGGAAGGTGGCCATATGTGGAAAAGTTTGTGCACTTGTATGTGTTCTCATATAAAAAACTCCAACTTGAGGAGGGTGAGCAAAAAAAGCAACCATAAAGAAAATATTTAAAACCATCACTCTCCAAGTCCTACCTAGCCCATCATACACAAGAAAGGAAGCATAAAGGTAAAAAGAAACATTTCAAGGCTCCTCTTTATAAACCAATTTAACTCTAATATGCTAGACGTCTACGCCAACTTCATTACCCAAAAGGCCAAAACTTGGTAAACAAAACCACGGAATATGAATCAGTACGGATTTTGTGATCACAACACAAATAGTTTAATGTTTTGATTGCTAGTACGAGTATTGCATTAAGATAAAGGGCACACGCAGTTAATTGGCTAGGGCCGGTCTACCAATCGACACAAAATGATGAAATTAAAAGATGAACTCTTTTCACCTTCTTTTTGTTCCTTTAAGTAACAAAAAGAAAGAGGGAGTTTGACTTGTGCAAGAAATGAGTACTGTTGTATTATTAAATTCCACTGTGCGCAATGTAAAATGTTAATCATGAGCGCACTAAATGAATCAGAATAATTTCTTTTTCTGAACGAATATTGTTGCTTTGAAATTAAATATTGGGCCAACTTGAAGCACTATCTTTTTTCATGTTTTTTAATGTAAAGCTGCACCTTTTCTTACCTAGTTACCTTTCTTTTTCATCGTATCAATTACTGTAGAATGTTAGGTTTTGCGGTTGATCTTTGCATGCCAACTACTGGTTAAGTGTATATGTAACACTGGGATGGTGGAAACGCAATCGACCTAGCTCAAAAACGTTGCAACGATGAAAGTGGCATTAATTAGTTTCGAAATCATTGTTGAGT